TCCATCTTGACTGCTGCGTCTGATTTCCTTTGATCTACCTTTAATCTATTCTTCGTCATCATAAGTCCTATGAATGGCACTTCGTTTCATTTTAATTCGAACTTCTCCTTATCAGCTCAGTGAATTATGTTCCACGATAATAATAATAATAATAATAATAATAACAATGACATTATTTAAGGAGGTCAACACACAACAACAACAACAGTGATTCAACTGGTGAACTAGTGGCCCTCGATCCCAAAAGTACCATAAATAGAATTATCAGAGGATTATAAAACTGGTCGACAGGCCTATAAGAATATAGGCTAAAAACTAGATAAAATAAAATATGCCGCTTGGGTCAGGTTAACTCGCATTCGAACTGAAAAGTTCTGCTTCACCATAGCTCGATAGGAAAATTCTGTGAAAGGCCTTTCTAAAAGAAGCAGCTGTTGTCGCCTCTTTCTTTAGGTTAATGGGTAGTTGGTTCTACAGTTTTGTCGCAGCGACGCTAAAGGTCCTCCTTGAAACGAGGGCAGGCGAGATTTAATTTACTATAACGACCAGTTCGTGTGTGTAGGTCTACATTAAATTTGAGTAGATCGCACATATAAGCAGGACAACTTCCTTGTAAACGCTTAAAGACTAAAGTACTCTTATTTAATTTAATTTCGTCATGTAAACGGAGCCACGCTAATTTCTTAAAGAGTTTCACACTGTTAGACCTTGTGTCAGCTTCCAAGATAACTCGGGCAGCGCGTTTTTGAAGCATGAGACTCTCAAATTTCCCTTGAACAGTTTGACCAAGCAGTTCATCCACACAACATTGGTTGTTTTATCATTGCGTTGTAATATGATATGCGCTGTTCAATTATCTTCCTAAGCACTGCTATTATTTGGGATAGCTTCTAACACAGTTCTTCAACGTGAATATTAAAGCTTTGGTGTCGATCAATGGTAAGCACTAGGAGTCTCTGACCATCCAACCTATTTGAGTTCCCAAGATGAAGATTTAATGAACCATCGACGATCTTATTTGTAGGGCGTTTCCCGGTCAGGAAGAAACATTTCGTCTTGGCGGCGTTCGTGAGCATGTTTTTGGTAGCCGACCACTGCGAAAGGTCATCTAGGTCTTGTTGAAGGGCTGATGTGATGCCGAGAAGTCCATTTGTCACGTCGGGTGAGAAACCGAGAGTGGTATCGTCCGCAGAGATGTCGACGGTAGAACGCTGAACCGCCGAGGGTTGCGCTATTCTGACTGAGATTTGTTTATCGCTCGGAAATTTTGTTCCTTTTGCCTATTCCACATCTCTAAGACTTCATCGATCCTACCTTTCTCTACCTTGGATGCAAAGAGTAAACCAGAGTCCATATTGAGGGCTTCTGTCCCGATACATCTCGTGAAAGTCGTTACTCGATAGTCGTTCAGCTTCGAGTGTAAATTGAGGGTAAATTCCATGTTTGAAGTTAATTTTTCTAATTCTTTTCTAGATCTTCACGAAGATCCAGCCTTGGAATAACTGGAACTTTATACGTAAATATTTATTGCGTTGTTTGAGGCTTGGAACCGTTACGCTGCTGCTGCTATCTGCTTGCAACGTCATATTTGTCAAAACTCTGTCGCCATGTCTCGGGTAAAAGTCAGCTTAAATTCGGCTAAAACACAGGTTAAAAGCTATTATATGTCTTGCTGAGAATTTTCCGTGCAACCATGTAGCGTAAGCGGCCCGAAATATCCGAAAAGACGAGGTAAAATGAACTTTGAACAGGTTTGATGGCCTACCAGCTCAAAAGCACATGGTTCTACAAGGTCACGATAGCTCGTAACACAATGCTACCATAACAAGACTCCCTTATAATTTGGGAAGGAAAAATCCTGAAAGGCGCAAGATTTTACAATGTTTTTCGTGAAAGTGTATGACAAAAATCCTTTGCGAATTTTTCTTTAATTGAAAATTAAAACTATTTGACTTTGTAACGTTGTTCCATTGATGGTCTTCTGTTTATCTTCCCTCGTAACTAACGAACTCTTCCTTGTCAACAGATTCAAAATCAAGCGCGATTGAACGAGACAACGGTACGCCCTTCCCTTTGGGTGACAAAAATAGGTCTCTAGAGGCCATCATCCCCTTTCCTTTTGTATCTCGATGCCTCAAAGGAAAATAAGGCTGAAAAATGCTTGAATGGATTATTATATATTAATTATTTATGATTAATCTGATTCTGACAGGGTAAATAATCACCAAGTGATTAAAAACTATATTTTCTCTGCATGTAATATGACTTACAAGCTTAGCTTTTTATATTTGGGGTTGAAGGGTCTATTAAGACTGATGTCTCAAACAATACTACAAATCTGTGACTTAAGCGACAGAGTCTAATTATTGTAATGCCGTAAATGCTACTAAGCCACTAACTATCCCTGAAATTATCTGTTTATGTCATTATGTCTTCCTTTTTAAAAGTCAGATGGATAGAAACTGGAAAGAATAGTATCTACCTTTTTATTTACAGACATTTCAGTTTGATATTGGGGACATATGGAACAGCTTTATAAGAGGTTAGTTGACAAACTATGCGCGTCCAATAATGGAAGTTAAACAACAAATGTTCAACGTGGAAACTCATCGCGTCGGCTTAAACCTAAATAACTTAGAATTTTAATTCCTATTGATAGTAACTACATACCAATTGTGAACGAATGAATGAATCATTCTAAACAAACTGTATACTTCGGTAAACACCATAAGTGTCACTAGCAAGTACTTCTGACTTTCATACCACAAAGATACAGCAATAGGTCAATTGCGGAGTGTCCCATTGACCTGACCCTGTTTCGATTTTTTGCATGGAGTTTAGAGATTGACGCTATGTGATGTTGCTTCATTGTAAAAATTTCTTTCTCTGGTTTCCTGGATTTGCTTTTCAACGAGCTATACCAGTGTTCAACCAAGGAAGCTTATCATGGGAAAACTTGTATTTGACAAGGAGATTATAAAAAAAAAACTACGAATGGTGAGGAAATTCTAGATCAGAACAGTAACTTCGAAATACCCTTCACAAGTTTTCTTGTATAATTTGTTAAGCGAGGAAAGTGTAAAGATATATTCATTGTTAAAAGCTACTTCCGGTACTATTGACTTTTAGAGCCTCAAAACCCGGTGAAGTGAGATAACGTCACCACGCTACAAGGTTCAACTCGAAAGTTAGAATAAATTAGTGACTTGCGTACGATTAATTCGACCTTACCAGTAGTCTTATTTTGTGTTGCTTCATTGATGGTCTATTGTTTATTTTATGTAACTAATAAACGCATACTATACCGCAGATTTAAAATTAAGCGCAATGAGATGGAACTCTCTCCCCTAGGGAGGCAAATATAAGCCTCTAGTGGTCGACTAAGTCTAATTATTGTAATGCTTTAACTGGTAAAAGTATTCCAGACACTCCCTGGTTATCCCCTCTTGATTTCCTTTAAGATGTCAGTAGAATAAAAATTAGGAAGAATTTTCTTTTAACTTTTAACTTACAGCTTTCTTAGGTTGATATTGTTAGTGAATCTTGGCAAGTCCTCCAAATGGTTGTTGTCCAAATGCCTATCAATAAATGAGTCAAGTAAGTACTTTTAAGTGGCTAGAAATGTTTTGGTTAAGTGTTTTTGGTCAACTCTGTGAGCAATTTTTGCTCATCTCTTATGGATATCATTTAAAATATCCATCCATTAACCATTGTCCAATCCCCTTTTTCAGCTAAAAGGATATCAATGTCGTTAAGGATTTACTAACATATTGTTCGTGCTTTTATTTATCATTATTACTAAATATGACCTCGACATGTTTGTGACTGGAATAAAATTATATCGAAAGATAACGTGCTTCGTTTTGTGAATCAGAGGTGGAAAAATCATTCACTACAAATGAATGCCTTTGATAGTGTTTGTCTAGACCATTATCACGTGAGGAAAAAATTTTGAGCAAAAAGCATGTCAGAGAGATGAAAGTTAATAGCACTCGCAGTAAGTTTCCACCCCAGAAAACGACCGTCTAATATCGGTCATGTTCCCGAATAGTTAAGAAAATTACATTTCAATCGTTAACATATTTATCAGTGAGAGTTAGAGTCAACTAAAAATGCCCTGTTTAACACTAGTAACACACACAAGTTCTTGTCATCAATCCTAGTAAGTTTTTCTAAGTTCTTTTGTCAAAAGTTATTGACTTTGACCAACTAATGATAATCTTTTGTCCGCACTTTAAGATATATGTCTACTGTTAGCTTAAAATAAAATTCATCCCATAAGACTTTATGCTTCAGGGCTGCAACCGGCATTCAAAGCTGATGCTTTTAACTAATCGTCTTTTCGTGCGTGTACTGATAAAATACATGTGACTTGTGGGATATTCCATGTCTTCATGAAAAAAGTTCAAATAACTTGTAAGCTTTCTGATATGAGGGTATAACTGAAATGTACGTGCAAAAAAATTAGCATTCTATAAAAACCGACGTTTTCTCTTTGGTTTTACAAAGAAAGACTTTAAGTAGACAAAGTAGGGCAGCCAGCTATTTTGTCTCAAGATTTGGGCTTGTAAACGGTGTACAAAACTGATTATCACAACATCTGACCTAAAGGGATCATGGTTCTGCGGAAAATTTTTAAATTGCTGCTTAATTCTAATGATATTCTCGCTGAAGTGGTATGGATTTAACGCGTTCTTTATTTAATAAGGCAAGCTCCAAACTTACAAATGCTTCAGCTTGATGTTGTTATCAAAAATTCCCGCTGACAATTTTTCCAACTTGTTGTGTCCTAAAAACCTACCAAAAATAATTCAGAGTGGTGTTATCAACATTGTTTTCGTGACCAAAGTTCAAGAAATTTCTATGATTATCACAACCTCTGACCTAAAGGAATCATGGTTCTGTGGAAAGTTCTTCAATCGCTGCTTAGTTCTAATGATATTCTCGCTGAAGTGGTATGGATTTAACGCGTTCTTTACTTAATAAGGCAGGCTCCAAACTTACAAATACGTCAGCTTGATGTTGTTTTCAAAAATTCCCGGTGACAATTTTTCCAACTTGTTGCGTCTTAAAAACCTACCAAAAATAATTCAGAAAGGTGTTGTCAACATTGTTTTCGTGAACAAAGTTCAAGAAATTTCTATGATCAGAAATATTTTTAAGTGGCGTTTAGGAAGATATTTACTCATTGTTTTTCAAAGCTGAGTCATGTCATTAGATAACTTCATAGATTAACTTTATTAAAATAAGCTACCCTACCATTAACATTATAAAAAGCTGGTTTCCAGTAGGGGCGTGAACCAACTATAAAAGCTAATAACTATTTAAGATATATATATATATATATATGTATGTATACACTAATATTCATGACTTAAACTATCAATGCATTAATTATAACCCATTAGAAATATATTATTTCACAGTTGGTCTATAGGTTGAAATAAGCTCTTCAAATGAAGCCAAAGTTTCAGAACTACGTATTTCATTTGGAAAGGAATTTCAGATCTTAGCACCATGATAGCTCAAACTCTTCTTTAAAATCAAGTCTTTGGCAATGGAATGGCCACGTTATTATCAGCTTTCCTTAAATTATAATTGTTGTCCGAGCACGAGTCCCTGAAAATATTCGAAAGCCTCGCAGGTGCCAAGTCTTGGAGAACCTTAAACATTTGTCCAGCCTTAATATGAATTTTTTGTTCGCTTAGTAAACTCCACCCAAGATAATGTAGGACTAATTCAGACTTTCCAACCTCGCTTTTGTAACGCATAATTACCCTAGCACATCTGTTATAGTGTTTCTGCAGCCTTTCGGCTAGTACACCGAATGAATCCTAAACCTCACAACAATAATCAAAATGAGGCATAATTAGTGCATTATAAACTGAAACAGTACATCTCGACTTGCAAAATCTCCTACTGAGCCGTTTTTAAGCACTAATTCTTGCTGTAATTCTTTCAGTTATTTCTTTAGCATGCTTGCTCCACTAGTGTCTGTCTTCGCAACGTTATGGCTGAGCTTGTTTGCTTGTACCCATAATTTAATGTTACCTAAGTCTTCATTAAACCCCAATTCGATTTCGTCAATACTTCTCGCGTTGGTTGTTATGCTGATATCGTCGGCAAACATTCGAGGTGTAGTGTGTTTGAGGCATTTGGCAAATCATTAATTTACGCCAAAGTTAAAAGTGGACCGAGAGTTGAACCGCAAGTATTGTTCTTAGATCAGATTGGCTCTACACTCTACAGTAAATGTTTTTTTGTAAGCTGATTGTTTTATTTCATCTCTGTTTTCACTTTTCATTTTCTGTGCCTCTGTCTGATCAGAACTATGAATGTTTACCGTAAAAACATTAGCGTGCTCTGATATGCTGGTATCTTGCCCAATGCGAGATGGATTTAAGGCATTCTTTACAAAAAGAAAAAAGGGTCCTAACTTACAGAATGGACAGATTGGTATTGTTACTGAACATGCCTGATGGTAATTCCTTCAACAGATTGTTGTTCATTTCCCTGCCAAAAAGCGATAGAGGGTGGTGTTCATTACGATTTATTCGAAAATAACATTAAATGAAAGGGTTTATCCGGTAATGCAGTATTTCCTTGCATGCTTTGTTATGGGGGCTCAAAAAAACCTACGTAATCCTTTATTTTCTATCATCCATGAATCTAACCTATTTTGCAATTAACCAGAACTGTAAGTGAGCATGTTCCATTTTCACGTCGAGTGTTTTTATTTTTGGAGACTGTGCCTTAATTCTTAGATTGAGGAGCTCTACATAAACTGAGAGCCTAAAAGAGGGGGTGTTGGGTAAATAGCAGGGCAGGGGGGGGGGAGTTTTTCATTTCTTGTGGAAAAGCTAATCCCAGAAATTTGTTTCCTCTCCCGAGATCAGTGACACCAAAGCATCACCAGTGATGCAGTTGAGTGTAGTTTCATTGTCCGGGTGAGAGTAGTCCTACGAAGGATTGTTTTCGGAACCATTGTCCAACGTTTCGATAAGTCCGGCGGGGGTCATTGAGGTCATCAAATGGGTCGATGGAAGAATTTTTGTCAGTCTATAACAGTCCTTCTTAGGACTACCCTCACCCGGACGATCGGGCTACAACATCACACGTCAGTCAGTGTTACTGAAACAGTGACTAAAAGTAATGAATTAGGTACGTTTGGAATGTTTATATAAAGGTTGGAGTGAGCTTGTCATGATTTTGGGAGTTGGAAAGGCTCGAATTGCAACCGAAAATTACTCGGAGAAAGGTTCTTTAGGTCACTGCCACTCACATTCCTATCAAGAATCATTACGAACGTGTTAAATATGGATTTTTATATTCACTTTCAGATCGATAAAATTGAGTTTTGGCTTACAGGAATTCCAGCTTGGTATAATTACTGAAGATACCATGGGGCAAGTCCCTCAGTTTGTTGCTGGTTAAGTTTCTATCAAGATATCGTTAGAAATGTGTAAAGCACATGCTGAATACAACTGTTACTTCACGATAAAAATGACACCTGAACATTTAATCTTTTCATTATCAAAACTACAAGGAAATATATAAAGAAAGTAACGAATAGATAACCAATAAGTCGCTGACCCAATACTTCCATGAAACCTTAACGTAAATTATTTTATTGCCTTTTATTGCACTTGAAAATTAAAGGAAGATTGACGATGAACATAGCATGATTATGTTGATGAGCACGCTTTGTCTGACCCGTATCTCGAATCATAGGTTAAGCTCGCCAGCCTAATGACCCATTACCGCCAGATCTTTTTCTGAAGCATTGAGATACTGAAAGTAACGATACTCCTCTTGGAAGGAACGATAGCCCGTTGCGAGGAACTTCATCGGTAGTTTCCGTCGTGAATGTAGTTTTCGTTGTATCTAGTTTTAACCCGTGGCTGGAGAGCATAACTTCTTTCCTAACAACACAACACAATAAACTGGCCTGGGCTTAAATCCAGACCCGTCAATCTAGAGTCAAACACCCACATCAGTTGGCCACTGAGCTTTGCAATGGTAAGAGCAGCACTAGCAATTAACTCATCCAGTGTTCCTTATGACTGGCGTTCTTTTACTTCCTTTGGTATTGAGTAATGGTTTATGATTTAAATTTCGCTGTCGTAGAATTTATTCCTTATCTGCATTCGTCATCTAAATAATGTTGTGTATTCCAGATATCGAGATAGTTACATTGATTTCTAGTCAATTATTACACTAGTGAAAAAGTAGCCCAAAGTAAATTCGTCGCAACATCGGCAGCCGAACTAAACTGGACTGATAAGTTTTATATGTTTTTCACTTTTATGTCAGTGAGGTATTATGGAACGTTTTCAGCTTCGTGTGCTGCAACTTTGTTCAAAATCGAGAGTCGTAACTTAGGTTTAGTGTAGATTCTTCTCTAGCGTGGCTTGACAACTAATTGTACTCTTTTTGAAACTGCACGCGAAATTTGTGGCCACGGAATAATAACCCCACGTCTTATAGAAATGAATACAATTCAAACTAAAATAACAAACAATATGTGATATAAAGGAACAACAAACGACACGACGGAAAGCGGAGCATAAAACACTTAAAAAAGAAAAGACCAAGATTGATACTGCAATTACAAAACTGCTACGGCCAAAAAAACCAAAAGGAAAAGGACGAGCGAAAACGGCGGTATATTACTGAACTGTGCTTAGCACGAAAAACAAGAAAACAGACATATTACTGCCATATGTACATCGATATATATTATGGGAAGTAGCAATAAGGGGGCTATAAGGTGGCAATAAAATGACAAAAAAGGCGCTACTGAAACAATAAGTATAAACTTTCGCTAATTACGGGGTGAAAAAATGTCGCACTAAGTACTTACACACCAGCCCCCAAGAGCGGAGTGCACGCGAGGCACTTATATTTTAATTGAATTAGTTCTAAGTATCTCTTTCAAAGGTCCTCGATTAAATGCAGTCATGAGATACGCAAAAGTCATTCCGGCGGGAAAGCTCAAGCTTCCAAAAGCAGGCAAAGTTTATCGATCGGTCTCTCCACAACAGCTCTCGTTACTTTCACCTTGGCACGTCGAACTAAATCTTTCCTGTCGAAGAGAACTTCGGCAGCCCTACCAAGACGCCGTGTGTTGCGAGGTGAATTTTCTACGTTGATAAGGAAAATATCTCCAACGGCTAAATTTTTGCAAGGCGATGTCCATTCTTGTCTGCTATGAAGCAGGGGCAGATATTCTTTGGATCGTCGTTTTCAAAAAATTGTCGGTAAGATATTGCACTTGCTCCACCTGCGTCGCGACCAAGAATCCTTCTTTTGGAACGTGCAAATACAGCTTTCCCAAACGCCTCTGTAATTTGACCCATATGAGAGGGTTAAATATCAACGCACTTAAAGGGTGATCGGTCATGATTCAGACGATCAACAAGGAGGTCAGCCATTTTCTGTTCACAGACTGGGCCTTGGCGGTGCCGACAGTCAACATATTTGGAGAGTACTCTTGCTACAACGGAACTGGCATTCATGATCAAAAACTTCTTCTATCTAGGATAGTAACGGGTGACGTAGGGTCCTGAGGCCAGTCTCCTTCCGGCCTCTATAGGAACTCCAACCCATTAACCATCTTTGGCAAGTCGTCAAGGCTTCGGCGGTTGTCCTCTTGACGCATAATCACCGGGGGTCGCTGCACCTTAACGCAACCGATGAGGAGTTGAACCATCTCGTATCGTTGCGATTCGGTTGGGAACGAACGTGTGAAAACGCGTACTCTCTTTCTTCACATAACGAAGAACCGGCCTTCTGTCTGTCTTAAATACGGAATTAACATTCAGTTAACTCTGTCTTGATCATCTTGTCCTGGCGTACAAAAACAATTTGCCAAAAAGGAAAGAACAGCGAGAAATGAAGTTGACTATATTTGACTTGACTAAAATCCGCTGGCTTCAAAAAGCGACTTACAATAAAAATTGAGAACTTTAAAAGATCCGCCAACCAACTCCCCCAACGTGAACTGTACTCATCTAGGATCTCATCATCCCACCCTAACTTGATGCGACACAGGTCTTAAAGAATTTCTTTTGCAGTAAGAACAAAGAACGCGTGGAAACCTAAGGGATCAAAGATACTACCGGTCACGGACAGGATACCTCCGCGCGTTAGAGGACGGAAGTTACAGAATTTGAAGCGAAACGAGTCGGAAACCATGCACTCCAAAACCTTGCTGAACAGGCTATTCGTCCTTGCGTGCGTCAATGTTCTTGATGTCTTTTGATCGCTCCAACTCAGGAAAGGTTTCAAGGACGTTACAGCTGCTGCTGATCCATTTAATTATCTTAAAACCACCACGTGAAAGTAGGACTCGTAAACTGTCAACGTGTTGAATAGCGTCTGCTTCGGAAGGGAGAGACTTTAAATAATCGTCAACATAGAAATTAATTTTAATAGTGTTAATGACGCTTGGGGGAAAGCTGTGCTGATTATCTTCTGTTGTCTTACGGCGTGCGAAATTCGTGGGAGCCGGTAACGAAACAGCTCCGAAGAGGTGTACGCCAATTTGGAATTCTTACAGTTCACGCGCCAAATCGCCGTCTTCCCACCAAAGAAACCATAGAAAGGAAATGTCGCAATCTGGAACTATGACTGGGTAGAACATTGATTCTATGTCTGCCATCACTGCTACCCTGTCTGCGCGAAATCTTGCAAGAACTCCCACAAGTCAGTTAGAGGCTGGACCCTTGTATATCATGTCGTTGAGAGACTTGCTCAAGAATTTGGCTAAGCAAAGACGATGAAATTTTCTCCGGTTTTTGGTGATGATATACTCCATGATGGTTATGTACCAAGCTCTGCCTTGTTCGAGGTTATTCTGATCAGGGTGAACTTTACATGCTTAATCCTAAGACACAGTGTCTTCCAAAAGGCTTTGTAACCTTCCAACAATCTGGGCTCTCTCTCCAGTTTCCTTTTCAACCAGTTTGCGCGCTGCATAGCCTAAGAAATGTTGTTTGGTACAGGGGACTGACGACTTTTAATGGTAAAGTGATTCGATAGTGTCCATTTCTCAACTCTAATATTTCTTGCTGTTTTATGGTTCAAATTTCGCTGTCGTAGAATTTATTTCTTATCTGTATTCGTCATATAAATAATGTCGTGTATTCCAGACATCGAGATTGCATAAAAAAAAACGTTCGTCCTAAGGCATCTCTCTATGAGATAGGAAGACCCCTTGCAGGTAAGGCCACCGACCAATGTCCTCTTGAATCGTCAACGATAGAATCTGTGAAGTCCTGATTGTAGAAGTCCTCTACCATCCGTTTGAGCTGAAGATCGGCTTTAGCGAAGAAGCCTGATGTCTGCGAATCATGACAATGACAACCTAAGGGTCCGTTAACCGCTCAGTAAATACGTGTTCTTGAAGCGTACGGACCTCCGTGTTGACTGTGCTTAATCTCAAGTGGATCAAGGACTTAGGGAACATCACAGGCAATCAGGAGAGCGACTTTGGCATGGAAATGAGATAGGAAGACCCCTTGCAGGTAAGGTCACCGACCAATGTCCTCTTGAATCGAAATGTTACTGCTGCATACGAGGATCTCTGGCCTGGTGTACAACATTTAGAGGCTGATCCAATCGTTTTCTTCCAAGGCGGATAAAAGAATATCACGAACAAGGTAGCTTTCCGTCGCACTGTTTTTCTTCTCCAGGGTCGATGGGGATATCTTTACCTGCTAACCGTTGACTTCTAGTTGCTTCATCAATGACTTGGTACAGAAACTTGAATTGCTACCACTGTCCAGAAAGGCGTGGGTGATTTCGCTCCTATCAATATCTCTTGCCTCACTTTGACTGGTATCACAGCCATGACTGTCCTGCCACTTTCGTGTAAGGTCTGACGTTTGGCATCCGCGCTATGTTTACCATGCTGCCACGAACTTGAGCGTCAACGTTATCGTCTGTGCCAACACCGACGTCTGTTGTATGTTTCTCACCGGGACTGGTGTGTAAAATTGAGCGGTGCTTTCTTGAACAGTTTGCAATTTCGCAGGTCTTTCTCCGAGGACACAACCTAGAAATATGCTGATTGGAGAGGCACCCGAAGTACAGTTTGTTGGACGCCAGAAACTGAATTATTTCTTGATACGGTTTCCATCGCAATGGCAGACAATCTTCAAGGGCATTGTTACTGTTACAATAGAGACACCGACGTTTTTTTCGAGAGGAAATGGGATTAATACCGGGTACTTGTACCTCGTGAGACTGCCAACTCGGTTCTCGATAACCACAAGCGCTTGGCTCACTTGCGTCAGGCAGGCCTGTCTCGCTTGGGGAACATTCACATCCGTCTATTTGCGTTAGGAAACTGAAATTTTCAGGCTCTTTTAGGGCTGTCTTGCCACCGCATGACCGCTGACCAGTCGCTGGTTTAACGCTGTCAGAGATCCTATCAAAGACTGGATTGGTTACTATGCTAGCTTCTAGATCAACAAAAGTAATGAGGTCGCTGAAGTCCATAGGCTTTGACTGTAATTCAATAATGTCGTTGGCTCTGCGAAGCCATCTCTCTCTCAAATTGTAAGGAAGCTTGAGCACTAACTTTTGAATGTTTCCCGGCTGATCGAACCTTAAGCTATATCGGCTTCCTGACACAGCGCCTGTACAGCTTTCCAGAAAGATCGAAAAGCGTTCTAAAGCCGCACCATTCTCACCCCTTATGTTTGGTCAGTCTAAAGCTTTTGTCTCATAAGAGAATGCCATGTGGTATTCATTGCCAAACTTCTTTCTGAGGAGCATGCAGGCCTCATTGTAACCTTCATCCGGTGGTAGGTGGTGACAGGATTCTACAACTTCTTGAACACCTCCAGCTGGGAACTGCTCCAGGTAGTACAGCTTCTCGGTACTGCTAGATGTTCTGGACTCAATTAACCTCTTGAAAGCTCGAACGAAGGTGCTGCACGCAATGGGACTTCAGCCAATGACCGGCACGCAAGTTTGTGGAAGTTTGCTTCTATTCTGGTTCAGTGCCAGCAACTCATCTATCCTGTTCTGTTGAAGCTAGAGGGTGGTCTGTTTTCGTTGTAATTCGATGGTCTCTCTCCTCAAATCTTTAGTGGCTGTGGGCACAAAAAGATTATGTGGGCCACGTAGAATGAAATTGCAAGGATCACCCTGCTCTAAATGTGGATATTCTTCCTGGATAGTCTTACTAACGCGGAAGGGAACAGCGGAATCCTGATCATTGAACTCGGGTTCTAATTTGACTGGCTGCTGCTGCAGTAAAAATAGGGTGGTCATTGCAGCGAGGGCTCTCTCCTTTGCTGATTTCTTCGCTATTTCAGTTTCAAACTTTAGGCGGGACTCTTCATGTTTCAAACGAAACTTCTTCTCCTCGAGAGCTTGACGTTTTTCAAGCATGGCAATTTTGGCTTTCAATTCGGCGACTTTGGCTCTCGCAATTGCAACTGATGAGGCGCGGCTTGACTTGAGAGTTTTGAAAGCTAAGAAGCATTAGAAGCTCTTGATGCCTTTGATAGTTCTTGCACGCCAGCACAGCTTACTAAGTCTCTTTAGGTTTTACAACTGAATCCACTTGAATCGATTCTGCTAGAAATTTCTTCACAGTCACAGTTATCCAGTCGGCGATTTGCTGGCGAAATAAGCCGAATTTCCTTTCTTCACTTTTAAGTTAAAGCTAGTATTCAGCGATGCCATCTTCTTCCATAATCTGGCTGCTATAATCGTGATGAGCTTCTCGGAGTCTTTGAAAAGCGTTATCTACATGAGAAAGCTTCTCTTTCACTTCTTGAAGGTTGCGATCATAAGATATCAAACCAATAATTTTGTTCGATTTCGCGGTAACTGCGGATGCGTAAACTGATCTCGAATTTTTCTTCAAGCAAATTATTTCCAGCTGAATGACTTTCAAGTCCAATACACGGTTCGGTTGTTGCACACGAGCACCGACAGCTAAACAACTCCACTTCTTGCAGAAATAAACACAATTCACTTTAATTCCTCAACGGCGTTAATGATGTGAGTGGAAACCAAAATAACGAACAATTACAAAAGTGGCACAATATACGATTAAAGAAATAACAAACAACACGACTGAAAGAGGACTATAAAACATTTACAATATTATGGCCCCGGAAAAGACCAAGAATAATACTGCAATTGCGAAACTGCTAAGGCCGAAAAAAGAAAAGAAAAGAGCGAGCGAAAACGGCGGTACATCACAGAACTGCGCTTAGCGCGAAAAACGAGTAAACAGGTATATTACTGCTATAGGTACATCGATGAATTATGCGAAGTAGCAATAGAGGGGCAATAAGGTAGCAATAAAATGACAGAAAAGGCGCTAATGAAACAATAAAGATAAACTTTCGCTAGTTACCGGGTGAAAAGACTTAAATAATGAACTTTGAACATGCAAAGAATCCAACACGAAAACATTTTGCTTTTACAACTTACACTTTGGTTTGGTTGTAAAGCAAATCCCTCATTTTCCACATTGTTATTATACTAAAAGCTGGGCATTTAACGCGCACGGTTTAGGAAATGCACGTCACTAGTTTTAAGAGAGTATCAAGTAAAGTGACTAAATCTCACATATAAGCCTCACTTTTGAGCCGATCTCTCTTAAATTATTTTAAGATCACACCCTTTCTCGTAGATTCTAGGCGGAATTCCCAGAACTCGTCAATCAGTCATGGTACATCATAAATTGTCCTGGGGTTGTCCTAATTGATTTGAATTCTACAATGGCATGAAAGGACTTCATTAAGAATAAGGCCTTAAGGGGGAAGTAGACCTACGATAACATGGGAGGGATTCCTCTACGAATAAGGCTTTTAGTGGAGAATCAGTTTAGTGGTACTCACAATTTTGACATGGCAAGAGGAAATTTCCATGGAATCGAATTAAGTTCTTTTCCACTACAATTCACACTAATGCTAGTTTGGTGGGAGACGTCACATTTACAAGGGTCTGGGCACTCTAAATGAGGAAAGAAAATGATTGGCGGTTAAAATTCGTCATCAAAGGCTTCAAATTTAAAAGGGTTAAGTAAGTTGTTTTTGGTAACGAAGAATATTTCCTTTGGATCGAACATAACGGTAAAATCACAGTTACCAAGATTAGACGAACACTTCAGAGATACGATGTAAAAATGACCCATCAAAAAGAACGAGGTTGGTTCGAAAACTGATCATGAATCAAAGATGAAGACTGGATCGAAAACACGAACTTCTGGTAAACTGTATGAAGGCGCCAAAATCGACAAATTATGGCATATTAACTTCAATTGAAATAGAAATAAGTAAGTTTGGTCGTCTAAATGTGAGAATATCCTTTGCTTCTAATCATTTACGCTGTCCCTTTCAGAAGATATCTACCTTGCCAATAATTAGCATTCAATACTGTAAAAAGCATACAAGTTAAATTAAAGGGATATGGAAAAATAACTTTGGAAAGTTTAAATAACATTCAACAACCAAAGTGGTTTAACCGTTCTTTTAGGTGGTTAGAATTTTGAGAAAATAAAAAAGTACGGGTTAAGACAATCAAAATATGCACGGAAAGTACTGATATACTTCAACAAAACAATGATACCTCACCTTCAATTCTGAGGCTGATGTTCCTTTTTAATACCTCTCCATCTCTTCTTACCTCGCAGCTGTAATTCACGTTGTTTTTCGAAGTTATATTAAGCTCAAATGTTATGCTGGTACTATTTTGAACAACGTCACCATCTTTTCTCCATACAATGTATGGAGCCGGCGCACCTTTTACTGGGCACCACAGGTTAGAGGTTCTGTTCAAAAATGCATACTGCGGGTTTGGAACTGGGTCCATCGTAGGATTGACTGTATTAGATTTCAAAGAAAAAAAGAAAGTAATTGTTGAAAAGACTACGGTGCATGTATTCAGACCATCTAAATCTTAGACACAGCATGGAAGGATAACCCATTTTACATGCACATCAAAAAATATCATTCTAATCCTGACACATTTCGATGTTCAGGCTAAAGCAACATGTGAATTCTATTCGTATCCTTCTCCGCCTTTCTCTGTCTCCGTCTGTCTGCCTGCGTCATTTAAGGATACAGTAAACCCTCCTGTACCAATACTTTTTAATTTTGGTTTTAAGTTAACGATTAATCGGAAGGAAAATACCTCGTATTTTCCTCTTAGGAGTCGGACAATGTAAGTGAGCGCTTTTTTCGACGTTATTTTCGTTTTCTCACGTCTTTAGTTCTAGTATTTTGTTTATCAATGTTCAATAAACCGGATTGAAAGTAAATATGCTAGCGTGGTAAACGATTTCAACGGCGTTAACTTGATTGACGCGCAACCGCAATCGAGAGTGCAACAGTGGAAAAAATTGCCGAAATGCACAATCACCGGAGAACATGGAGGTAAGCCGTTATTTAAATATCGGCTAGCGGAGGACGTGAAAAAAAAATCAAAGCATTTCGAAACGACAAGAAGATCCAGCAGGGGATATCGCCACGAACGGACACCGAGTTATCCAAGAGACCCAAGAGACCTTAGCATATGCCATAGAGAACAGACGGAAACATTTAGGGAGTAAAATTACTCTTGCGGGTAATAGATTCTTTACATAGAATAGAACTGCATTCATGCTCCGGCAACATGCTGCCCAACTAAATGCCGCGACAGAGGACTTTGAACGCATTCAGTCGAAGCTAACTGATCTATATGAGCAAGACAAAAAAAGAGCGTACAAGGAGCAAGTCTTTCCCTCAGAAACGCTTGTCCTTGCGGCTGTTCTGTATGGTGTGAGTTACAGGTTTCGTGCGTTCAGTGTAGATTAATTATTCGTCGTGTTCACTTTGTTTAAGTGCACTTTTGTAGTGTGGTTTGGCTTTGTTAAAGAGTTCTTTTCTTGAGGAAATGTCGGAGATTCGTTAGCCGATGGCTGCTGGTAGGTGTTTTATTATTGTAGGCGGATGGTTAGAATTGGTGTCGATGTAGAGAGTTTCGTTGTTGGGCTTTCTGTATGGATAGTGGGTTCCGTCCGTGAGGTTTACGGTGACGTCGAGGAAGTTGCAGCACGTTCAAACAGCACGGAACTATCAAAGCATATCTGGACACTCAAAGACAACAACACAAATTTTACAATTGGAGTATTTTAGCGACCGTCCCGGCCTACAGCAACAAAAGCAAACGGTGCCACTTTTGCCTCACAGAAAAACTATACTTAGTTAGAGCTAAGAAGCCGTCTTTATTAAACAAAAGAACAGAACTCATTTCTAAATGCCACCACGAGAATAAGTTTTACTTAGCAAATTTGACAAGCCGCCAATAGCTCTATAGAATCTTTATTTCACGTAGATTAGATCATCACACTAGGGAATTAATTAGCTACTTATCTAATTTGCATATAAGGAGGTATGTTCTTCGTTGAATAAAGTTTTGTCTGACGAGCGCTTAGGCGCGAAACTTAGAGTTGCAGAGAATCAATGCGTCGTCCTCTTCTTTAACTTATGTATACTTAGCTCTGCTACCACAGCATTGAGCACTTTATGC